CCACTTGCCCAGTGGGCCAGTGCCCCCACTTAAATATTACTTGCCGTGTCGGCCAGAATGGAAATCAGAGGACAAACACGAACGAAGTATGCTTGGATTCCCAACTTATCCATGCTTTCAACCTAATGGTTAACTACTGACCTTGCAGTCTTAAGTTTTGAAATAGCTTCTGACTGGAAATCATCATTTATCAAGTTGACATTTTTAATCAGACTCACAAGACTACTGCGGCTAATTTCACCTGCCCACCGGGCCACTGAACTTCTATTTTCACTTGCCCAAGAGCAAAATTTACTTGGCCCTGGCAATCGGACCTTGGTTTTTTCCTGCCATGATTCTTTATTTTGTGTTTTCACCAACATTGACATTACTGTGACGCTGACAAGTGCAGACAGTACCAAGTTTCTATATTGTGGATGTATAATTTGTATTGACATTGATTTTCGAGTCGGGTGAACTGCCTTATAGAGACAGAGACTAGGGGTTCTCATTGAGAAGTGAGTGCTGCCGTTAGTAGCGTGTTTGTATGTAAACATGACAATGGGAACTTCAACGGAAATATAACTAATTTATTTCTAAAACAACATGGTTACATGTACTTTGAATGTATAAAAGAGATACAATAAATAATGACTAGCTATGTCATTTTTTGGTTTAAGTGTTGATTCTTTGGGTTTATGCTTGTAAGAGTGAAAAAGGAACATATTGGTTTATTGAAACGCAACATGTAACGAACAACGGGTCTTAATCAAAACCTGCCTCAGTGAGCAAAATGGCCCTTCGCCACAAAATGAGCGATCAATGCGCCCCTGATAAAATTTACTGTAGTTTAAACAGTACTCGACATTGGTCTNAGTATGTATGCAAAAGGTAAAAGTAGCTTTGAGGAGGAGTGGGGGTTAGTATCAACAATAATATTTTTCTCATAGGTGGTGAGGTTTGTAACTCCTTCAATCTTACCACTGCATTTGTCTATGAATGAGCTTTTTTAGGTTCACATGTGGCAAGGAACAGGTATCCTGTTGGTGATTTGTCTAAACTGGATTGATTGTGTGATACCTTGTTTCTCTTTGTCTTCTTTAGGTTAATGGAGCTAGCACAAAGGATTTAACACATGTTCAAGTTGTGAGGCTTGTTGTTACATCTGGTCCTTGCGTTACATTTTCTTTGAGGTCAGGTAGCAAACAGAGGAGACGTTCCTCAAGGCTGCAACCAGTTGGAGTGCAACCAACCCCTCTAAGAACCCAGCATAGAGGTTCCCTTGATGAGACTCCCCTGGGAAGCCTGAATTTTAGACGACTTCATCTTCCTGGCTATTCACTCATGCGACATGGGGCAGCAGTTGATTCTCCCTCCCAGCTTCCTATGGCAGTAATGAGGCTTGATTGTATGCCCCCTCCTCCATACACTCCTGAGGTACCATCCAGACACAGATTATTAGCAAAGGGAGGGGAGGGACATGAACCACAGGGAACCCCTAGTCAAATAGAAGCACTAGACATTCCTAACCAAGAGGAACAACTAGACATCGCTTTTCAACAAGAGCTACAGGGAACCCATCATCAACTAGGGTCACAGAACATCACACACCAACAACAACCACAGGACAACCCTTACGAAGAGAAACCAGTAGAATACCATTTCCAAGAGTTTGCCATGGAAGTCAAGAATGAAAGGCAGCCATTAAATACAACTTACTTAATAAATCCAATTATCAATGATGATAACAAAGCAGGTTTTAAGGAAAATATGGCAAATGCTTTTCAGGTTGGCAACATAACAGAACAAAATTATGCACCAAACCCGGTAATGAATGCTACACCAAGAGAAGAGAAGATATTATCAGAAGAAAATGAAGCTTTGATCAATGAAACCACCAGAGAAATGTCAACAGGACTGGATCCAGCTACTGGTAATAACAGCTTGCCCATATCTACAAGCAGCCAGTTGCCAGTAGCAAGGACTGAAAGAGAGTCATTCCTGAGCCAGATAAGGCAGTTCAACAAAGCAAAACTGAAGAAACAAGCATCATGTCCCGAAAGTAATTCTTGTTTGCAGCTTCAAAGCATCTCCAGTGAAAGTAATTGCACTTCAGATGAATTACGATGGGGAGAGGATGGAAAGGAAAGCATACAATGCAATGATGAAAAACAGAATGTAGATGCTACTAACTTGCTGTCTGTTCTTAAGCGGGTCATGAAAAACAGGGCAAGATCATTGCATGACACCTTAAGTAGCACAGATGAAGGCAACAGTAGTAATGATGATGACGATGATGAGTGGGAACTGTGATAAGCCATTGATCCTTTATTGGCAATCAGGGCAGGGGAAAAAAATTGAAATCCACTTGCCCAGTATGCCAATCAGTCTGTCCATCCATCCATCTGTCAGTCATTCAATCAATTGTAATCAAATTTGTTAATAGGATGGTTAAAAAATTAGACTATTTTTTTAGTGAAAGGAATAGGGGTTGTTTTTTTGGGGTGAGTAATGCATCTGAAGACCTATCTTCAGGAATGTAAGCCTTACTGGATATGTTAGAGCTGATTATAATTTCTTATTGCTCAGGCAGTACACTCGCACAAAAAATGTAATCAAAGTTTTATTCTGGGTGCTGTTAAAACTCTTTCAACAAAAACACTTAAATTTATTCAAAGGATAAACTTTAACACACCATATAAAACATAAATAATTTTTGCTACAATGCACTGTCTGGCAAAAGCAGTTCTGTTTAAGCTCTAGATGTTTTTTATGTTACAATGAATATTCTTTAACGTACATGAACAAAATCACCTCTTTTTAATTAATCTGCATTCAGTTATTACCCAGCTAATACATCGTCACCTATGATATACTTACATACATGTACATGAATACTTAAATCCTAGCCTGGCTGTTGCTTGTCTCTGCAGAAAAATAATGTCTGTGAACCTGAGCCAGGAAATGATTTCTGTGATGTAGGAATTCTAAGCCAATCAAAGTTTAGCTCAAATAGCCCCAGAACTACCATGCGAGGTATCCACTGCGAGGAGCACTCGAGTTTCATTCTATCATGGAATCTGACTGGCCAAAGAGAAACAAAAGTCATTACGTCACAGAAATCATTTCTGGCTCAGGTTCGCAGACATTGCATTAAACAGGGATTTCATTAATGTTTTCAGCAGGAGAGCAACTAGTTTCCACAGGTGGGTAAACCTTTTTGCACTGAACTTCTTAATAAGAAAAATTTTCCTCTAGATGTTCATTGAAACCAGGTAGTCAATTTGGTCAATTTACTTGGTGCCTGGCACTTAATGAAACCCCTTGATTAAATAGAAACCACATGACTGTGTAGACATGAAACAGAAATAGAGAATTAGTTTAACTTTTTAACTTTTATTATTAAAATAAACTTGGGTATACCGATAAATTATTTTGTTTCTCAAGCATGAATATCTTTTCAGTAATTGTTGTTGGTTCTTTTGATTCAGGCTCATTGAAAGGCATGAGAAAACTCTTTGTTTTGCAAGGAAATAAATCTACCTGGTACAAGAAGTGAACAAAATTTTATTTTTNAAAAATCGTGTTTCTAGAACTTGATAGAAACACAGATCTAGCACGAGCTGTTGATGTAACGATGCCTCGAGCAAAGAAAACTTACATTTTGATAATCAAAGTTAACAAGTGTTTTTTTGGCGCGGTATTTTCTAAAAGAAATAGAAAACATGTTCTCTGTGTTTCTATCTAGTTTTAGTAGAATTCCACCTGAACAGTAATGCAAATGCTGCAATCTGATTGGCTGAGCCATTGCACACTATCAGCCATTAGTGTGCAGTGGCTGGAGGTTGTCTTCGAAAGAGCGACGTGTATTTGTTTTCCCAAAGTTTTGGAGGAATATTTTGATGCAAATGGCTAACTAAAATTCCTGAGATGACTAAAAGAAGGACATTTATGGTTTCCAGACTTTAAAAACTTGGAATTACTGAAAAAATGATGTGCGTGAACACAACTGCAAGTTCAAATGACAATTCAATCCAAGCGATCTTTCTAAGGCACGAAGTTTAATAATATGTCGAGAAAAAACTGGAAACTGTTATTTGAAATAAAGTTCAGCTAGAATTCCACTAAAACAATGTGATTATTCGCTCTCGATTTCTATGACGTGATAGTTGATTTGGCCTTCGGCCTCATCACCTATCACCTCATGGAAATCTTGAGCTCATATCCTTATTGTTAAATAGAAACACTCATGAAAGGTTGGGAGAACTCGAAAAAGCTGTGGAAACACTTGCCTTTGGCTTGTGTTCCCACAGCATTTCTCATTCTCCCAAACTTCCAATCGTGTTTCTATAACTTGATAGAAACATGGTATGTTTTCTATTTCTCAATTGAATTACACTAAAATGCACAATGTGAGTAAATTCATTTTCATGTGAATGTCTTTACAGCAAGCCTCATAATTTTCAAAAGAAGACAAAAGACAACTCAGAAAGGTCGTAGCATTCCTCATAAAATATTAAAAAATTATGAAACAAGCACAATTCAAAAAAAAACAACACTAAATTTTAAAAAACCCATTAAATTTAAATTTATAAATCACAATAACAGTATTTTCATTGATTTTAATAAATTAAAAATAGGGAAAGAAAAATGAATACGTAAACAAAGTTGAAAAAAACAGGAAAAAACCCTGCCAGTAGGAGAATCTCTTTTTACAGGGAAAGTGGAGCAGAAAGAAGGAGGGAGTGCTAACACAGTTCAATGCTCTTTGTTTGAGTAGTACCATGCACATAAAATAAGTTTTGAACATTCTATCATTCA